TCTGTATATCAGATGTTTAAAATGCTTTGTGGGTAAGGAGAGCATTTTGTCAGTATACTTACACTCAGAGAAAGACTTTAGCCTGCTCTGTGAGGTCAAAGATCAGTTAAGGCAGGATTATTTGGGGGTGGGGTGGGAGTGTGTGTGTGAAGGAAATGGTAGGAAGGGAGGGAGTGGGAATTTTGGTTGGTACTTTTTTTAAAAAAATCAAAAAATCATTTTTTTAAAAAAGAAATGAAGAGAACATTGTCAATGGATACTAAGGCAGACTCTGGCATTGTTGTGTCTCTGTGTAGAAGAGTGAGTGAAAAGGGTGAATCATGAGAATAAAGAAAGGAAATAACATCAAGAGAAAGAAAGGAATGGATATAATATGTGATGGAGAGTAAAATGTCATGTAGAGAATTATCATGGTTCCTGGTCAGGTTGTAGAAAGAGTCTCAAAGTCAAGGAACCAAAACTGACTTTTAGGGAAGGGATGTTTGCTGGTTGAGGAAGCAGTGACCATTAGGACAGTAACAGGTTGCTGACAAGGAATGTGCAATAACTTGGAAAATGAAGGACAGTGGAATTCAGGATGAAGATCCAAACAATCGCCCAGGGAAGAAAGGTAGATAAATATCCACTGAGAAATGAGCATGCAAACCTGGATAAAGTGTGTATGTTAAATAGACAAGAGGGCATTTATTTACCTTAAGGACAAGCAGTACTCACAGACACACTGCAGGATGGATGCATCTCAAGGGCATTGTATTAAAAGAAGGGAGCTCGTCTAGCTTTTTTCGTGCAAGCTAGAACAGATTTTATAACTTCATCCCTGTGAAATATCTGGGATATTCAAATTCACTGCACCAGAATGTAGACTGATGACGGTCCAGGACTGCTGGGGATGTTCAGGAGGCAGGTGAAGTATACTGTGTATAATTTCAGTTTTCCAAGTAAAGCATTGCGGATGTGCTAGATCAATATACTTTGTGCTAACACCATGTAGACAAGTACACAGGTCTGTGTACTTGGAAACTGCTTCACTGTAAATAGTGTGACTTTAAATTCTACTTGAAGCTTTTTAACAAATAATGTTGAAATTACTCACCATCAATTTTCCTTCTTGTTCAGGAACTAACTGGATGATTGAGATTGTCTGCTTGATTCAGACCAAGGGGAATCCCCAGTGGATTCAATCTGAGCCTACCTGGGAACGCTCACCCTGGTTAGAGACTAAAATGGGATATCCAATTTTAACCAATCAGGAAGGACCACACCTCATCAGCTCTCATCTTCCCTTCCATATTTTCCCCAAGTCTTTCTTCAGTTCCAAGGCCAAGGTCAGTATCCAGTGATTGAGAAATGCTTGGTCAAATGCTCATTGAACTTATTCTGCCATGAAAGACCCTGGAGCTCTTGTTTAAATGGACTCTGATTTTTGTAGGTTGAGGGAGGAAAGTTAAGATTCTCATGCACTAGGTGATATTGATGTGTTCCCTCCTCAGACTAAATCAAAGTACCATGATGTCAATCACCACACAGTGATCCTGGCAGATATATGACAGAAAGTGGAACAACAAATTAGAGCATCAAGGAACTACATATACAAGCCAAATAGAGTTAAAATTCTAGTGTACAATAGATATTACTGTTTTGCTGTCACCAAAGTAATTAATTAATGAATTAGCTAATCTTGATTCTATAACTACCCCATGCACAGTGGGTGAAATGCCCAACACAGACTACCTCATAGGTGAAACAGCATGAACAGGCACCAAAACATGTAGATGTTCAACAGTTATGGCTCATCTGTATCCACTGTGTCTTGCTGGGTCTAGCTGTCCATTGAGATCCGCAACCACAGGAATCACCCATGTTCCTGACAGAGGAACTACAGAAAGGATCAGAAATATTCATAGCTTTTTGTTAGTAAGAACGTTTACTGGAAGTCACTCCACCACAGAACTTAATATTATTTTATGCTTAAACTGCAAAGACACTCTTAGAGGAACTATCTCTCCTAAAAAAATATCACAGTTGAGTTATGACCATTCAAAAATATGTGTTTGTGTCTTATCTGAATTTGGCAAACTTTTGTCTGGAGAAATTGAGGCATAAAGAAATATATCCTAGAATAATTCCACAAATGCATTGGTTCAAAATATGTTTCCTTTTATTAAATTTATTTACTTTTAACTTATTTCTCTTATTTTTGAGATTACAATTTAATTGTATACAACACCCTCTCAATGCCTTCCTCCACACTCATTTATATAGCTCTCATTTTCCAGATTTATGGTATCTTTCTCATTGATTTTTATTATATATGTATATTTATACATTTCTACATATTTATAAATACTTAAGTATAATCAATCAGCTCTGTCTGTACAATGTTCCTTGTCTGCATATTTTCTGGGACGAGTATTCAGCATTATGTGACCCATAGTTATGCTTTTTCCAAAGGAAATTGTTTTCTCTGACTCTTCATTTCTTAGTTTCCTGTAGGTCTTTTTTTTCACCATTGTGTGATGTCACATTGGCTTTAAGCTCTGCACCATGATTGTTTTGAGAGTTATATTGGATAGTTATAGTTACAGAAACCAAAAAGGTTGTCATATTGCAGATCGATTGAACACAGTACTCAATATTCTGTGTAGATAAGATGATCTTTCACAGCAGGTGGATAATCTTTCACACTGTAAGATATTGTTTTTTTTACAACTATAGAATCAGTGTTGGATTTTTATTATTGTTTTTGTTTTTTACAGTAATAGTGACCTCAGTCATTTGGCTGTTATGTATTTGTAAATCAAATTAAAGTCTGAAAGAGGATCTTGACTATATCATACTTAAGTATGGTTTTTCCAAATAAAATTAATAAATGTTTTTAGAAATGTCATGTTGTGTGATTGACATTTCATATAAATTGTAACAGGTAAAAGTGAAGAATGACTGTATTAACCCTCATATACATGTTTTTCCATTTTAGATGATCTATGTCATCAGAAATCCCAGAGATGTTCTTGTGTCTGGTTATTTTTTCTTTCATAAGACAAACCTTGTTAAGAATCCAGATTCCCTGATAAAGTATTTTGAATGGTTCCTCAAAGGAAATGGTGAGTGTCCTATCAAATATAGGAGTTGCTATTGGCTCAAAGACATTTCTCTCATTTTATTACTTTAAAAAATACCAATTCAAATTTCCACTTCCTCTCCTCCTCCCACTTCCCTTCCAGTCTTGCACACATCCTTCTCTCACCTTCTCTAATATTAAGAGAGGACAAGGCACCCTGACCTGTGGAAGGTCCAAGTCTCTCCCCACTACATCCAGCTTGATCGCGGTATACATCCAAAGAGAAAAGGATCCCAAAAAGCCAGTACATGAAGTAGATACAAATCCCAGTGCCATTGTCACTGTCCCTTCAGTCTGCCACAACTGTCAACCACATTCAGAGGGACTAGGTTGATTCCATGCTCATTCATTGCCCGGTCAGTTGGAGTTGGTGAGGTCTCATTAGCTCAGGCACATTGTCTTGGTGGGTGAACCCCTCGTGGTCTTGACTTCCTTGCTCATACTCTCCCTCATTCCACTCTTTAACTGGACCTTGGGTGCTCAGTCCAGTGCTCTGATGCAGGTCTTTGTCTCTGTTTCCATCTGTTGTTGGACAAAAGTTCTATGGTGATATTAAAGATAATCATCAGTCTGACTACAGGGCAAGGACAGTAAAGACACCCTCTCTATTGCTAGGGTCTTATCTGGGATCATCCTTGAGGATTCCTGGAAATTTTTCTAGAGCTAGGTTTCTTGCTGACCCCAACATGGCTCCCTCAATCAAGATATCTCATATCCGTCCTTCCTCCATCTCAACTATGCCATTCCCTCAAGCTCTCCCCAAAACTCCCCTTCTCTGCTCCTCTTCCCCTTTTTCCCTTCCTTCTACTTCCTTCCCTCATGCTCCCAAATGTTGTCAGGG